GCTTCCGTCCGCGGCCGTGACGTGGCTGGGGCAAATACCGCTTAGGTGTCGCTAGGACACAAATATTCTTCAGCTCGCCAACTGCGAAAGGGAAAGGCGCACAATCACCGGGGAACAAATACTGCCAGTTTATTAAAGGTGATTGGTGTGGACGCATTGTGTTCAACAAGACGGCGACACAACTTTCCGCGTCAGATTGTTGTTCATATTGATAATATTCATTCCTTCTTTTTTTCTCTGACATCTGGTGTCCCTCCAGGTTCTGTGCTTGACACCTTTTGTTTTTGACCTTTGTCAACGATCTAGCGGATCGCGTAGATAGCGCTTATTGTTGGTTTTTGCGGATGACATCAAGTTTTTTTTTTTATATTCTCTTGTTGGCTGCCATGTTCTGCAGCATGGCTTATCAAGCATTTCTCAGTGGTGTTTATGGAATAGATTATCGTTGAATACCCTAAAACAAATGTCTTATCCTTATAGTATAGTCCCAGTATAGTTCACCACGACTATATTATAGAAGTGGCAATCAAACGTGCATCTGTCTTAAAATATCTTGTCGAGCACCTTGATAATGCATTCAGGCTTACTGCTCGAGTGTCGTTTATTCTTGGAAGGGCAACATGAATATTGGTAGCCGTATCTCGCAGTACTTAGCCGTTTAAGAACCTGGCCTCCTTTATTCGTTTATTTAGTGCCCTAGTTTGGTCTAGGCTTGAGTTCGGTTCTGTGGCGTGGAAATCGTTATCAAAAATGCAGGGAATGACCATTGAAATCGTGCACCATTGAAATTTTGTACAATCACTACTTCGAACGTCGTTTTTATTTTGACTATACTTTTCTTCTTATAATGTTTCGCTGGACCTTTGTCTGATAGAAGAGCAAAGCGCGATTTGGTTCTCCTGCACAAGATTATAAATAGCGCATTAGATAGTGGTTCGATTTAATGTGATGCGGATGTTCATGCTCCTCCCCGTTTTACTTGAAATCCCAGTACTTTTAACGTTCGCACTCTGTGTAAACCCCCTCCTTTGTCACGGACACAATCTATAATGCAAATGCTGAAATTGATACATTCAGATACATTATGGTGTTCGTAAGGCAAGTGAGAGTGCTTGTTGCTCAATTGTAAATTCTTGTGTGTTTTATATCGCTTTGCATTTAAAAGCATTCAATTTTGTTTTTAGTTTGTTTTGCTTCTGCCGACTGTGAGCACAATAGAAAAGACATTCTGGTTGTTTTGGACACGTGAAAGCAAAGATTATAATAATAATAATAATCATTATTATAAATTTTTAATATTATTATAAATATTATTATTATTAATATACATTTTTATTATTCTTTTAAATATTATTATTATTATTATTATTATTATCCTTCATCATCATTACTTTATTACATTACATTATTATTATTACTGTCCTTCAAGCGTCTCCTGGCTTCGACAAACCCGTCACCTTATAGTGTAATGAAGGTATCTAAATAAATGAAATGAAATGAAAGATGAAAAAATTATCATTAACGTTATTGTTATTATTATTATTACTGTGTTATATTACATCAACAATGAGCGCCTGTTCATCAGTTTTCACGCTGAACAAGAATGCGCCTTAAACTCATTGTGGTATTCTGCAAAGATGCCTTTTTTACGTTTGTTTATGAGAAGCTTGGTGCTTGAAATCAGGTCGTGACAGTAGTGATCTAAACTGTTCTAGCCTTGTTGGTAATTATAGCCCGGAGTGCCATGCTCCGTGGTAGTCGTTTTTGTGCTCGCCACCATGCTGCGTCATACTAGATATGTCATTTTGAAACGGCTTTTGAAATGAAGTGATCGTAACAAATCTATCGTAATGGGAGAACAATATTAAAGCAGCTATGTTGGCCCCACCATATATCACCCATGTCTCTTATACTACAACGGCCTTATTAAAATAATACCTTTGGAAATGTCGGATAGTCTAAAAGGCCCTTTTAGAACGGTCGTGCTTGAACGACATATTGCAAAAATCAAATTGTATACACAGTTGTTTCTGAACCCTTGCGTTTTCCTGCTGGCACAACGTCTCTCCAGCACTATAAGAATGCATTTTTGTCTGTATCTTTCAGTTACTGTTGTTCTCAACGTCTACGGGTTCATCAAGCGTAAGTCTTTTTCAAATTTGGTTTGTAGTTAAAATATATACAACCAAAAAAAAAAATTACTCACTAGAGCTAACTTAGCGTTTACTCTAGAGTAAAAGCTAAGTTACTGAATTGAACACAAACGTAGCTTTACCGAACTTCCATCAGCAACACTGATCTGATCTTCATATATCCCGCATGCATTTTTTTCAAACTTAATTGTTCAGAGGGAATGCATGACCTTTTTTGCTATAAAAAAACGTAACCAATTTCGATCAAAAGGAACTAGCTACTTTATCGTTATTCTGAAAGTGTCCTCTTCTGAAGCAGTAGCCACGTTCCAATATGTTGTGTCATCAATATTGCCTTAGGAACATATTTTTTATTTTTTTTTATTTTTCCTTTTTCGCTTTAAAAGTCACATACTGGGGTGAAAACCAAACAGGATAATTAGTGTTTTACACGTTCCTTTTCAGAGTTATCTAAATTAGTCAATGGTTAATTCATCAAAACTCCATAAAATGTGACAGTCGTTTCCTTTCTGGAGCAGTAAAATAAATCGTGATTTCGCTACCAAAAGAAAAAAAAAGTAACTGGGTACAAGTTGCACGTCAGTTGCAGCTTTACATATGTCTGCTTTTCAGGTTCTATCAAAACCATGATCACTTTGATTAATAAAAAAATTAAAAACAAACGTGAAAAAATTTCTACAATACAAATAGGTGTACCGGGCCATGATGCCTTACGTGAAAGCGCGTAAAATGAGTAAAAAAAATGTATAAAATATTTACACACCGTTAAACGTCGTTCTTACCTTCGAAATTACGAGTCAAATGTTACCAGTAACTTCATGTGACCGTTAATGTCTCATAAATTTACCTTTTTGTCAAAGGTCACACACATCGCGCTTCGTATAATATTGAAGTGCCGGCTACGTTTGGAGTGCACTAAAGCTTAGGGTCTTCCGTTAACTCAATTCGAGTTAGGCATCTTTTCCCAAAGCCTAAAAATAACTAAAAAAAAGACACGGTTTTAAATTAAGTTCGTCCGCAGGCGACGCTACGATCCGGTGGAACCAATCAAAGATCGCCGAAACTGCATCGTCACGGAGCACGTCGTCTTTGTGTGTTTTGTTCTATCACCACCCAAAACCAGTCACTCACAAGAAAAAAAAAACGCAGGATCACTGCGCATTTACAGCACGTGATTGGTTCAGCCAGTTTTACCAAACACACAAAGACAACAAGCGAACGAGCGACGTGACGATGCGCCCTCGACGCTGAATTGATTGGCTCCATGTAATGGAAGCGTTCCCTGCGGTCGGACTCAATGCGAAAGGGCCGTGATGGCAAAGCGTTCCCGATTCCATCGCATTCATTTTAGTCCCTACGTACTGCAGCAGGGACTTCTCGAGCGCCGATTAAAGATGTGCTAAATAAAACAAAATATCGCTTTAAAAAATACTGCGTTTTTTTATTTAAATTGCAAACGTAAGTCATTCATTGTCGAACGTTCAGTTCACGTTCCCATGTAGCGCTAGCCGTCCGTATGAGATAAGGAGGTTCCAGAACGAGCCGTTACCCTAGCTAGAAATTATAAGTGATTTTCTTCATATTTTAATGGGAAAATGGAGTTTGCTGCCGGATGTTTGTGCGCGGTTCGAAACCACGTATTCGTGGCCTTCGTCGGCCATCTTTTTCCCATTGAAAATTTACGAAAATCGCTTATAACACTTGACAAATTTAATGGTCCGTTTTGAAATATTGCCATTTTTTCCAGACGCTAGCGCTACATTTGGGAGGAAACTAAGCGTTTGCTAATGCTGTACTTTGATTGTGCGGTTTATACAGCTCAACCGTTGTAGCAGGTTACTCCCGGATAGGGCAGGTGTACTTTAAGATAATGGATCGTTCAAGTGAGCAGCGGCGTTGTCTAACATTTGTGCAGCGGTCGAGCATGAAAACAAGCTGTGCGGATACCTGAAAGTCTTGACTACACTTCGCGCTGTGAACGGGCCCTTGTCCGAAGTCTACAGGGTATCTCTGGACGAAGATTGCAGCTGCGTTTCCGGCAAAAGTAAGTTCGGTAAATCTTTCAAGTCTATTTCTACTCGTCATAAGTTTCGAAATTAAAAACAATATCAATTAAAATTGCCACTACTCTTGGCCAGACGCCTTTTGTAAGAGTTTTGCTACTGATGACGCAGAGGAAATAAGACATTACTGCAGTATAAATCGTTGCCATTGATTATGTTTTGTTTTTACCTAATTAGGTCGCAACTATCTTCACGCGTTGTTTTACTTTAGGCGTGCATTGCGTTCAATTAAAAATTAGTATTATAATTGTAGCCACGCATCGAGGAGGATCTTTGATACTGGTGGAAATAAAAAAACATCTTACACCTCCAAAGTGAGCCCAAATATAACGCCACAAAAAAGGTTCTTTCGGGTTTGTTTTATATCGCCAATTACTGAGACCATACTCTCTCAGAATGAGAATGGTAAGGTAATCCCTCAGTTATCCCTTCACCCAGCGCAAGCTCCTTTCCTTCAACAAAGCTATGGCTTCTTGCGAACCGCGAGTGTGCGAATGCAGCCAAAGACCGACGGACCGCAACAAGCGCGCACTGCAGACCGGGTATCCAAAAGAGATGCTTTGCCTTTATCATTCTGCTGTTATCATTTTGTGGTATTGTGTTCAATAAGGATTCGCTAAAAACTACAGACTCTGTAAACCTGCTGGCTCTCATATAATATGTTATATCGTAATCTCTGGGTGTCTATGCTAGAGAAACTGCAAGGCTTTAGGAAGCTCCCGACTTGGATGCCACCTCCCCTCTTCCACTGCATGTGGTCCCTCAACGACTTTTTCTTGCGCAGAGTCAACGGCCTTTGTCCTCCTGTTCAAGACCGAGAAGGTTATCTTCCCGACTACTGGCGTATCCCATCTGCCGCTGGACCACGACGTGAAGATCGTCAAGTACAACGAGACCACCAGCGCCAAGCTACAGGAGTTGTTGCGGACATGTCAGGGATACGCCCCGGTGCTGCGACTGAAGCGAAGCGACAGCTACGGAGGAGGTAATGCCCACACGTCCTCCTATCTCGTCAAGACGGTCAAGCACTTCTACCCAGTGCCCGCGTATGGTAAGTCCGCTATGGGTCCGCGCAAAAAACGGACCAATTAAAGGGCAAGTTCCTTAAGGCAATCGTCTCTACACATCCAGAAGCTTCTACTCGTGCACTGATCCGTGGTACACTAGGAAAAAGAATCAGTAGCTTTTCTCGAATCAGTTTAGTCGAAGATCATATGCAATTAATATCGCGCTCGAATGGTTAGGCACTCTTAAACCACCATCGCACTGCTCGTACATCATACAAAGGACATGGTGTTCACTGCAGCCATGGGAACATCATTATCTGCGTGCACGACTGAAGCACGGTTGAAGCATGTGTGAACATGTCTGAGGACAGCATTTCTATGACCAATATGCCAGAACCATGATGCAAGAAAAAACATGTCTCAGACAGTGTGTGCAGACTGGCTTTTGTAAGATGCATTAGCAGCGTTACTGTGGCTTTAAGGTCCGTTCAGTCACGCATCTAAACTCTCAAACAACGTAAATTCAGCGCCGTACCAGCGCCATGGTCAGCGCTAAAGCAGCGCGAGCTGACAGCGCAGTGTGTGTAAGCGATGGAAGGCGGGGTCACATGCAGCGGAGCACCGATGCAGCGCTGGTATGTAACGTAAAGTCAGCGCTTTTTATGTTACACCGAGTTAGCGCTGTGAAGTATGTGAGAAAAGGCCTTCAGAAGCGAAAAAGCAGGACGACCTCTTTGCTGTTGGTTCCTGCATGACTGTAGGAGCATGATGCTACTTGATTTTACAATAAACACAATTATGCTTTTCCAAAGCATGCGGAGAAACATAAGTGCAGGAGAATCCTAGAAAGTGAGAAAATTGGTCTTCGCTTTGAAAATACGTGGCTAGCATGGAAACTTGTCAGATTCGAAAATCAAGGAGAACCTTCGCACCTTCCGTTCGCACTTTAACGGGCTCACATTAACGTCCCTCTCCTTGTTACCTTTTCTCGTACTGTTAAACTCAAATGTTAATGCTAGAGGTAGGAATTGGTAATAGGGTCTTTTCAAAATCCGGTCAAGCAACATTGGTGGTCGGTGTTCCATGGACACGAAGCGTGTGACTGTATGCGAGAGCAAGCTCTGCGTCAACGTTCAGCGAGGACTCGTCGCTGAACGTTGATGTAGCACTCGTGTCCAATAATACATGATCAGAGTACATGTTCTAACAATGCTCAACTCTGACAATTGGTGGTGCAGCTACAAGTTGGCGCGGACGTTTCAAAAAGGATCTGTTGCGCTCGTTATGCGTGTTGTTTAGAATCCTAAGCGGACCATTTCAATACATGTTGTTTTACACTCGGTCCTTCTGAAACCTCAAGCGAAGACGATATTTTTATGACGTCTGGTGGGAGGTCTGGCTTCGGCTTAAAGGCATTTATCGTACAGTACCGACGACGTAGATTGCTTAAGAAACTTGCCCTTTAACGTTAAGGACTGCCAGAAAAAACCAAGAGCCAAGTCAAGAGTAGATGCAAAATGGGCCACATAACCTCATTCTCCAACGCTACGTTGGTAAGCGTAGCGTCATTAACCTTCATTCAATACATCGGGGTAAATCCAATATTGCGTTACCCCCAACTGCCGGCTCACCGAGCCTGCGAGAAAAAACCCTATTCACGCTGTACAGCACATTTCTTTAAGATCCTGTCCAAGTAGGAGTGTCAGTATTGAACGTCCTATTTCCTCTAGCGCATAAACACAACGTTAACACCCATATTGCAGATTTATATTTGTAATGGCATGACAATGAGTATTAACCACCCCATTCGAAACTGCATAATATAACGTTGTGTAATGTGCTTTTCAGACACAGCAAAGTGTAACGTAAATTCCATGAACTGATATTAGGGAACGGGCGAAGCCGCTCTCAATCTTGACTCCGAGTGTCGCGGGTAAACAACACTGCGCCAAGAATGGCGCTCATTGATTGGCCGACCACATAATGCCAGTCGATGGAATGTACAATAAAGTTTGCTGTGGGCATGATTTATATATACAGTATATAATTGTCGATACCGCGCGCACCACAGCTGCCAGATAAAGCATTCAACTCGTCCTGGTGGCAAGCAGAGACACCAGGGACGGTTTGCTAGTGAATTCGGCTATTCCTTCCGGCGGGAATGAAAGATTTTTTCGCCACGTAACAAGGTGAGAGGGCAGAAAGTGCCTAGCGTTTCAGACGATTCACATCAACAGAGTTAAGTCTAGTTTCTTGTTATTTTTTCATTCCTGCATAACACAATCTTCCAAAGAAATAGCTTTACAGGCCACTCGTAAAGTAAGAACACACATGCGGTTCATTACACTTACACTTTAAGCCTGGCAACCTTCTTTCTGCGCGCAAAACCGCACTTACATAATCGAAGCGAGGACGGACTTGCGGCAGTCATTTGCTTGTCTCGGCGGCAAATATTTTGCGCTGCACAGTCAAGGCAGGCGCAGCTTTCACAGCCCGCTAACGCTTTCAAAGCTCTTCCGCGAGGGCAGCAATGCTGGGTTGCAGCATTGTGGAAGGTACGCTAGCCTTCACAACGTATCAAAACTAATTGATCCGGATTTTTTTTTTTTTAATATCTACATTGCTGATGTGACCAGAAATTCTCCCTTGCGGGGATTTTATCCACCGAGAGAGACACCCGCATCACCAGCGAACCGCCCCTCGTGGCTCATTATGCGGCTAATAAACTAAATTTGGCATGGTTTCTCAAGCTTTATAAAGGCTGACATGGCTGTATTACAAGTAGTTTTCTGGGTTTGCCACGTCGTGGCGATGATGTATGACGGTTCCAAGTAAACCACGATGACTTTAGAAAGCTTGTATTAAGAAATAAGACAAATTATGCAATTCATTTTCCAAAACCTAACAGCAAAAATCATGTTTCTGCTTTATTAACTTCACATGATAGTTCACCAGTGCCCCACTATGCAGATAGACAAAGTGACATTCGAACAAACTTGGTTTAATGGTATGTTAGTCTAACAGAGGAACTTACGCATGAACCAAGTATTAGTCGCTAAATGTCAATGTCAAATAATCTTTCTTAGTTAAAGCAATGTTCCCACAATTGCTTCTTTCCTTTCAGGTTACGAGCCAAGTTATGGCGGAGACTCCTACTCAGCTCCAAGTTACAGCGCTCCTTCGTACTCGGCTCCAAGCTACAGTGCCCCTTCTTACTCACCACCAAGCTATAGTGCGCCCTCTTATTCCGCACCTAGCTACAGTGCCCCATCCTATTCTGCTCCAAGCTACAGTGCCCCTTCTTACTCCCCGCCAAGCTATAGCGCACCCTCGTATTCCGCACCAAGCTATAGTGCCCCATCCTATGCTGCTCCTAGCTACAGTGCTCCTTCCTACTCCCCACCAAGCTATAGTGCTCCCTCTTATTCTGCACCAAGCTACAGTGCGCCCTCGTATTCTGCTCCTAGCTACAGTGCTCCGTCTTACTCCCCACCAAGCTACAGTGCTCCTTCTTATTCAGCACCTAGCTACAGTGCCCCATCCTATTCTGCTCCAAGCTACAGTGCCCCTTCTTACTCCCCGCCAAGCTATAGCGCACCCTCGTATTCCGCACCAAGCTATAGTGTCCCATCCTATGCTGCTCCTAGCTACAGTGCTCCTTCGTACTCCCCACCAAGCTACAGCGCTCCCTCTTATTCTGCACCAAGCTACAGTGCGCCCTCGTATTCTGCTCCTAGCTACAGTGCTCCGTCGTACTCCCCACCAAGCTACAGTGCTCCCTCTTATTCAGCACCTAGCTATAGTGCCCCATCCTATTCTGCTCCAAGCTACAGTGCCCCGTCGTATTCTGCTCCTAGCTACAGTGCTCCATCTTATTCCCCACCAAGCTATAGTGCACCCTCTTATTCTGCACCAAGCTACAGTGCCCCATCCTATTCTGCTCCAAGCTATAGCGCTCCTTCTTACTCCCCACCAAGCTATAGTGCTCCCTCTTATTCTGCACCAAGTTACAGTGCCCCTTCGTATTCTGCTCCTAGCTACAGTGCTCCATCTTACTCCCCACCAAGCTATAGTGCCCCCTCTTATTCTGCACCAAGCTATAGTGCTCCATCCTATTCTGCTCCAAGCTACAGTGCTCCTTCATACTCCCCACCAAGCTACAGTGCCCCATCCTATTCTGCTCCAAGCTACAGCGCTCCTTCTTACTCCCCACCAAGCTATAGTGCACCCTCCTATTCTGCACCAAGCTACAGTGCCCCATCCTATTCTGCTCCAAGCTACAGTGCTCCTTCTTACTCGCCACCAAGCTACAGTGCTCCCTCGTATTCTGCCCCAAGCTACAGTGCTCCCTCGTACTCCGCCCCAAGCTATAGTGCCCCATCATATTCTGCACCAAGCTATAGTGCGCCTTCTTACTCTGCCGTGAGTTATAGTGCACCCTCGTACTCTCCACCAAGCTATAGTGCTCCGTCATATTCAGCCCCAAGTTACAGTGCTCCATCGTATTCAGCCCCTAGCTATAGTGCCCCATCCTATCATGCACCGAGCTACAGCGCTCCTTCATATTCTGCTCCGAGCTACAGTGCTCCCTCTTACTCCTACCCAAGTTACAGTGCTCCCTCATATAAAACTCCAAGCTACAGTGCCCCATCTTATTCTGCACCAAGCTACAGCGCTCCTTCATACTCTGCCCCAAGTTATAGTGCCCCATCCTATTCTCCCCCAAGCTACAGCGCGCCTACTTATTCTCCCCCGAGCTACAGTGCTCCCTCTTACTCTCCACCAAGCTACAGTGCTCCGTCATATGCTCCTCCAAGTTACAGCGCTCCATCATATGCTCCACCTAGCTACAGCGCCCCATCCTATGCTCCCCCTAGTTACAGCGCCCCATCTTATTCTCCTCCGAGCTACAGTGCCCCATCTTATTCTCCTCCAAGCTATAGTGCTCCATCTTACTCTCCCCCAAGTTATAGTGCTCCTTCTTACTCCCCGCCAAGCTACAGCGCTCCCTCTTACTCACCACCTAGCTACAGTGCCCCATCCTATGCCCCTCCGAGCTACAGTGCCCCATCCTACGCGCCTCCAAGCTACAGTGCTCCGGCTTACTCTGCACCAAGCTACAGCGCTCCGTCTTACGCTCCCCCAAGCTACAGCGCCCCCTCTTACTCTCCTCCAAGCTACAGTGCCCCATCTTACTCTCCCCCAAGCTACAGTGCCCCGTCTTACTCTCCCCCAAGCTACAGTGCCCCGTCTTACTCTCCTCCGAGCTACAGCGCTCCATCTTACTCTCCCCCAAGCTACAGTGCCCCGTCTTACTCTCCCCCAAGCTACAGCGCTCCATCTTACTCTCCCCCTAGCTACAGTGCCCCGTCTTACTCTCCCCCAAGCTACAGCGCTCCGTCTTACTCTCCCCCAAGCTACAGTGCCCCGTCTTACTCTCCTCCAAGCTACAGCGCTCCGTCTTACTCTCCCCCAAGCTACAGTGCCCCGTCTTACTCTCCCCCAAGCTACAGCGCCCCGTCTTACTCTCCCCCAAGCTACAGTGCCCCGTCTTACTCTCCCCCAAGCTACAGTGCCCCGTCTTACTCTCCTCCAAGCTACAGTGCCCCGTCTTACTCTCCCCCAAGCTACAGCGCTCCGTCTTACTCTCCCCCAAGCTACAGCGCTCCGTCTTACGCTCCCCCAAGCTACAGCGCCCCCTCTTACTCTCCGCCAAGCTACAGTGCCCCGTCTTACTCTGCTCCAAGCCAGGACAGCTATGCTGACAGCTATGGTGACAGCTACAGCGGGTACGATATTTTACATATCTGTACGTGGTGACCCAAAGACGTTTTAGAGGGCAGCTTTTAGGTGCCCGTTTCCGTGTTTCGCGGCATCGGCGTCGGCGTAACCGCGCTCAATTTAGAGCGAAAATTTACGTCACGTGACCTCAACACAAATTCAATCTCCGTTAAATTTAGCAGCAAAAATTCAGTTTTGCCCGCTAGATTTAGCCGATAAACGGAATGTTTTTATAGCTGACGTGACACCAAGTCATGTGACGTCATTTTTCCCGCGAAAGTTAGCAGAAAAACTGAATTGGAAGAGGAGCAGAAGTAGAGGAGGAGAAGGGCAGGAAGAGAGGGTACGGAGAAGGAGGAGGGGCATACCCCTCCCTCCGTACCCATTCTCCTCCTCCTCCTCAAGAGCTGCGCTCTAATTTTGCATTACAGATATTTGTAAACGTCTTTTTTCTTTTTGCCTGCATGATATATTAATGTCGCCTCCTTTTTCTTACAGAAGCAGCAGCTACGTGCCCTCGGTCACCTACACTTATGTCACGTACGTGCCTCCTTCGTACGCAAGCTACGCCCCTCCTAGCTACGCCGTCCCAGCTCCGAGTTACGCTGCTCCAGCAGCGAGCTACTGAGGCAAGAACGCCTAAGTCCTTGCTAAACCGGTCGTTCAGACCGGTGAAAAACAATGTTCAACAAAGTGTCCAAGTAAAGGCTACTGCTTCCAAGTCCACTGGATTTGTTATTGCTAATAAACACCACCCTTTAAATTGTATGGTCAAGAAGAATTCGTTTTTTTTTTTTCATTTCGGCTGGGGCTTTCGGGTTAAACTGACGAGTTTACTTGTATTTCGTCAGTAATATCCGCGTAGGTACACGTCATTCCTCTAGGGGTTTAATTCAACCATCATTGGAAATGTTCCATCGCCTAATTTAAAAGATGTGATTTGAAATGAAGAATAAACGACATTGGATTGTCGTGTTACGTAGGTTATACAAGCATACTACACAGGCTTAGGATGAGTATGCTCGCAGGGCACGCCCCAAAGTTTGTAGCTTTGTGGCGCTTTTCAATTCTAGTTGGTGGCCTGGGTTCACGAACAATCAGAATGCTGCTTTCGTGGGCAAGCAATATTTATTCGTTTCATTCTGATAAAAAATAAATACGTACGTACGTATACATGTATCTTAAGTGGAATTCTGTGCAATAGCGCTAAGCTCGAAAGTTTAAGAAAAACCGCTACATGCAGACCAAAGTAACATAAAGCCTAATGAGCGAATAGAAGACGATGTATAAGCATACAACTCATATAAAAGGCGACACTTAATCATAAACAATCATAATTATACCTTAGCATAATTAGTCGTAATCAGCGAGATTTCCCGAGCGGCTCTGTGCGAATCAAACCCTTGAACATACAACTACAACACGGCGCCGGTGCTCGGAGCAATGAATCGACCGATGGTGTACGCAGCTGAACCCCGAATGCCAAAGTGTATAGTTACTCACGTGATCTCACGAGTTCGCTGGGCAGCTTCATTCTAGTGAAAACAAAAACGTGTGGAATTTGGGCGCATGACCCACTTGTGGAACCGATCATTTCATACAATATTAGGGGACACGAGCACCTGTTTGATAACAAATTACCCTGTTGAACAGGAGATTTGAGTACGCAGGCAAACTTTTTTTTTTTGTTAGCCACAAATGGGCAGAGCCTGCGATGTGTTCCTTAAGCCTGCGATATGTTCCTCGAAAGACAAATTTCTTATCATAGTTTTGGTTTTACAAATGCGCTGCAGGGCTCGATTCTTTTGAACTCGTGGATCATGCGCATTAGCAAATATGAACATAAATGTGAAATAAATGAGCCATAAATCCATTCATACACGAAATAAAAAACACAGGACGGAACAGTAAGCACGACATCCTTCATCTGTGCTCCATCCTTTGTGTTTATTCTTTCGTATGCAAACGAATCCCACCAACACTCGACAAGGTGATGAACAGCGCACAGGAGAAAAAGGCTCAGTAGACTAAAACAGACAGGACAAGCGCTTGTCCGTCTGCTTTCTTCTACTGTGGTTCTTCGTCTCCTGTGAGCTATTTATCACCATGTTCAACGCATACCAACTTGCACAACTCGCCTCCTTCCTACTTACCAGCACGCTCGGTTTTTAGCTCGTTTCCTCACATTGCGCAAGTTTTACTCTGAAAACCAGTTTGCATATAGATAAGTGCCGTTCCTCTATGGAACGCCATTCCAGTAAAATGGTGCAAACTCGGCATCGTCGGCAAATAGACCCGACCCCGATGAGTTGCGACATTTGACGCGTTGGAGGGACATGAAGCCCAGCGGAACGCTGACGGAGCACTCGGGTGAAATTGGTGTCTTCGCTCGATCCTATGGGATGGCGTCATAATTTTAGTGCAAGAGCTCTGTCTCTACTATGTGGTGTTAATCAGGTGCAGCCGGCGAGGCATGGCTATGGAAGCAACGCGTGCTAGATCTTGGTGTCGTTAACTGCCCTCTGAGGTACGGCCCCGCGGCGAGCTCGTGGTGGTGTACCTCGTTCCAGTCCAACAGCGCGTGGAACTCAGCGTGCTATACGCAGAAGCTAAACACATGGAAACCTTTTTTTAAAGCATGCTCCTTACAAGCTCTATTTATTAATAAGTTTATACTCCGTCCTAATGCTTCTGATAAACACGTCCTATACATGAGTGCGTCGTACGTGCGATGTATTCTAACCCGCCCAAAAGATTCACGTAACGAATCGTAAAAAAGTCATAACGCTCAAGAAATGCACGGACGACACCTAATACTTGTTTCACAATCTAATTTTATAAAATGAAGATTTTTAGAATCAATTCAGTGCTAAGGAGTTAGAAAAAGGAAAGAGTCAGTTGAGACACCTCTTTGTGAAGTGGTCAATGACGCTTCTCCGATAGAGGCTGCACCAAATTTGACAGAGAGATGAAGCAATCTATCAAACAAAGAAGCGCCAAAAGATACCTTGAAAGGTGCAAATTCGCACTTTTGTGAACAAGTGTAAGAAATGGAAAGTCTTTTGGCAGGGGCCTAGCCAATATTGAGGTTCTGACAGACCAGAGTTTCAAGTTTTCAGCTCGCAGTAAAACTCTATTCTGCGAAATCCAGGCAGCGGTTGGCCTATAGTTAGAGTAACAGTGCGGAATGTTTTTCTAGCTGGCGCTGAGTTTTAGAATGCATGATGAAGTACCCAGACAAGGTAAAGAGAAGCACGAAATACTGCATACTACAGTGCCCACAATTTCTCGTCCTTTTGCTTTTATTTCTCCTCTTCCAGCTTTACAATGTATTATAAAATTCAGATTGAGAGTTCGTGGGATTTTTCTTGCTGCTGTCCTCCTCGGAGAATGCCACAACTTACTCGTTTAACAACACGTAGTCATTTATTCATTGTTCACGGCGCGCGCTCCGACACACGAAGCCGCGCGCCTACTTCTGCCCCGGCATTTTATCAGCGGCGCAGCACCGCTCACGCATGGCCGATTACGCTTCGCCACCTCGAGCTGGGGTAATCACGAGAGATGATTTAACATGCGGGAAACCTGATTGAAAGCTGCAGATAACCCAGTTTCCCACAAGTTTGAGATATAGTTAGCGGACCTGGAAAGCGTAGTGTTTTCTGCAAGCCTTCATTGAATGGCGCGCCTTATGACTGCGTCAAATAACCGCTTCTATGTCAGGGTATCACCTGGGAGCTACCTGCCGACAGATAACCCCATCATTAGCAGCAATCAAAATTAACTGTTGGGCTAGTTGGCTACACATTGTATAAAAATTCAAAAGCGCTCTGTCCTGTCCCCTCTTCTTTTCCTTGGTGTTTGCGCTTTTGAATTTTTATACAATTAGCGGCGACCCTGTAGCAACCCTGCAAAAGATTTTGGTAATACAACAACCACAGCAACATAAAAAATACTAAAATACGTAACACAACATGGTACACGATGAACTGTACAATTTTGTCAATCAAGAATAAATATTTCCCGTGTGGAAGACTAAAAAACTACTCCGACAAAGGAAGAAAAGAAGGACGGAGACTAAACAAAAACAGCCCTCAGCAAAGAACTAGACCCTTCATAGGAAACTTTGAAAAGTGGCAAGTAGCCGGTAGGCATTTTAAAAAGTTTTATGAAATAAGAGGAAGGAACTTTAGACCTGGCGAAATAGTAAAATTTAAAAAGCAGTAAAAAATCTCGCGGCAGCTGGGCTGATAGCCTTTGGAACATCTTTTAAAGTTGTAGCAGTAACATCTGCGGAATGGATACGGCACGAGACGGACTGGCTGATGGACTATGGGCTCATGAATAATTATGGGGGATTCACCCACTCTTCACTCAATGGGCGAACTTTGCTGCACAAACCTGAGTTTCAGAAATGCACGAGAGTATCGATTATTTTGGAGGTGTGTTATGAAGACATATTGATTGTCGTACATTCTATACATTTTTCTTTTAAAGCGCGAGAGGTTTTTAATAAAATTAACAATTATGACCGTTTTTACGGCTTCGAGCGAATTCTGAAGGAATCTTAAATTGAAAATAAATGGCAGGCCAGCATGCCTAAGATAGGGACCTCAAAAACTAAAAACAACGGAAACAAGATGCAGGAATAGAGATGTACACAAACAAAGCGCTGACTTTACACTGATTTTACTTGAAAATCACACATATCGAAGTGAAGAGGAGAGCAATATTTCTTTCACCAAGTCATTAAGCGTAAAATTCTGTAAAAAGCTCTCGAAAGGACCATGAAGACAATTTTGACCTTTTTCTAAAAAACGCCGTTATCGGACTCTTGAGGGACGTGGCAGCATGCCTAATTTATTAATACAGTTGTATAACGCTCATTATTTCGTATAAGAGTAAATCAACGAAACCGAAACTGACCTTGGGCTACATCGCCGTGCAACCTCTTTTAACACGGAAATGACTTCAAGAATGAACGGCGGTACCGATGGAATTCATTGGTCATGAGCGTAGATGTCGCAGTAAACTGTGGCGGCGCTTTGTGGTTTGAGAGTCTTGTACCGCGTTGCGACGGCGAGTAATTCGTGCTTCGTATGCCGCTTGACAGGCTTCTCCTTGAATTAGTTGATACGCTTCACACGAAACACGGATGAACCACTGACTCGAGGCAGTTTGTCGACGCAACGCAGGCAAGAGCATTCAAACGGAACTGTGTGTATGAGCCTTATTTTTTGTCGACACGTTTATTGCCCATCGATTTGCGAGCGACGCTATCGGACTAAGAAGAACAATAATTGTTGCGTGTCGCTGTTATACGTAGCAAGTAGGACAGAACATGGTGACCAGCTTAACGCGGACACCGTCAGCTGTCAATCGTGAGGACGGTAATACCTGCCGTTCACCACTCATGACAGCCTCTCATTTGAGCGATAACGGTTAATTACCATTCAACTATTTTCCTACTTTCTTGTGACGGTTTCTCTTGCTTCTTCTTTCTCTTGAGAGCTCTCTTATTCCCCTTTCTCGGATGATACGAGAGGGAGATACCAATTAACAGACGGTTATATTACAATAACAGGGAGGGGAGCAGAATACCACACCATTCGGAACTGAATAAAATAC